TCCCCATTTTGACAACTTCTCACAAGCGGCGCATAAGTCAAATCTGGAACTGTTAGAGCTACAGCGCCGTAGAAGAGCGCATTGAATAGCTATTTGAGTTTTTTTTTGTGTATTTTCTCAGATTGGACCTAGAGTAAATGGTTTATACTCCAGAGGGCAAAAACTTTCAAAATTTGACGTGTTGCGAATAGTTTTTCTGTAATAACCTATGGCGTCATGCTTTTATTACGTTAATTTAACCGGAATCGCGTTTCTTTCGTGAAGACGCGTCAAATGAACCATACATTGAAATTTAATTTACAAAAATGATATCAGGTCAAGCTCATAGAAAAGGTCATGTTGTGCCTATCAGTCGATTCCTATCGTTGAGCTGAACGCATCGGTGTTTTTCAGCGTTCTATCATGTTTTATCTAAAGTCATTGTCAAAAACTGTTAACCCTCGCCGGCACAGGCCATTTTGCGTCCTTCGACGGCACAAGGGTGGGGGAGGGGGTACAACCCCCCTCGCGTTTCGCCCCTGATTAAGCTAGAGCTTTATGGAAAAAACGAACGTGTTGCCCGTCACGAGAGGAAACCGATTAAATCCCATTTTTAACCCCCGCATGTGTGCGGCGTTTGCCAGCTTTTAACGTGTAGGGGGGGGGGTCGGTTGGACCCCCCTGCCGTTTGGCCCCTGATTGAGCTAGAGCGTCGCGGAAAAAATGAGCGTGTTGCCCGTGACGAGAGATAGCCGATGATGCCCAATTTTAAGGTTCTAGGTCATTGGTTGAGTGTCGCTGCTATGTTTTTTTGGGGGGATGCTGATCACGAATATCGTGTTACTTTTGATCACAGATAATGTCTTTAAGCATTTAGACCAGGTCAGGTCAGGTCAGGTCAGGTCAACCAGTAGGGGTCGTGACGGATATTCGTAGTACCTGTCAACCGCCTCTGACAACTTCGTAACATGTTACGAAGGCACCAAAACTACTTCGTAAATGTTCAAATGCTTTCTAAATTCGAATTCATCTCCAAAAACTAGCCTAGAAACATGTAAAACTCGAAAAAGTGAACCGAGGTCACCAAAGATCAATGACCTGACCTGACCTGACCTTCAGGTGACCTTGCCATCCACCCTATTGCATGGGAGCAACACCAAATCACATGTATGAACGTTTGAAACCACGAAAAGCTTGCAAACGCGCGGCTAATGCGAGCCGACAAACGCCGAATCGCGCTTCCGGCCAAACATGGTCTCGGAAAGTAGATCACATGTCAACGGTCATTTTGGTCAGGGTCATGAAATTTGCAGGGTAGATGTGAAATTGATCAATGCGAGGGTACTGAAAGTTTTGTCGCAATCGGCTGCTTTTTACGCGAGTTATTCGCGAGAAGCCTTGGGTGGGGGGGGGGGGTGGCGGGTGCATCAACTTCCCCCCGTGCCGGCGAGGGTTACGGAGACGTATCATGATGTGAGATGACTTCAGGGGCATAAAATGGTCAAGAGTGGAATTTAGTGATTCGGTGTGCCATATTCACCTGTATCCGGGTGCCATTGCTAAAAAGAGGAGCATTTTGACCTGACTTTATGATGTGACCAGGTGTCAACAATTCCAGACACGATACGAAATTCATAAGTTGTGCCAAGTTTTGCGTCGCTGTGCGCCGCAGTTTCCGTTATAGACGCACACAAACATTGGCAAGTGTGGCCAAACACCCCCCCCCCACCCCACCCGGGAGAAAATAAACGATATAAATTGCTATAACTAATCTCACTGAGCTAAATGCGATCTCACTTACAAGCTCACTTGCAAGCATCATATTCGAGTCGACACAGAAAGACCAGCGATTCGCAGCAGGCACCCTAGCCACAGATATGTGAGCGATAAGGCAACCAGCGCGGCGCGTCCCTGACTCGGTCAAACGCGTCTGTAGCGAGTGTGAGGCCAGAGAAATATACTGTGCCGCTGAGCCTGGGTGTGAGGCGGCACAGTCTACCATTGAGGCCAGAGGGATGTGCTGTGCCGCTGAGCCTGGGTGTGAGACGGCGCAGTCTACCGCTCCAGTCAAACGCTGGGCCGTCGGGGGGCGAACATCACTTAGTAGGTGAGTGTACAACGACCTCTGGAGACCCCCGGCCCCACAGGTTCCTGGTTTTCAAAATTGGCATCTGAGGGCCGCGCGCGACTCGTGCGGGGCTTCGCAACGGCTCTATTGGGGCTCGGCTCACTCAACCTGTCTTATAGTCCTACTGCTAAAAAGACTGGCCCTGAGCCCTAAGGACTTCATCAGTCTCTGCCAGCCCCACACACCGGCTCATGGGGTCCCGACGTCGAACTATGAGGGAATCTGCGCGGGACCATCAGGACGTAAAGTAATCTCGATCAGGACCAACGTAAGGCTGTGCAGGAGTCTGTGTGAGCCATGTGATCTTCAGAAGCCCACCCATGTATGTTTTCACTTAGAGGCCAGTTTAGGGCCCTCAGAGACCAGTACAGGGCCTGCAGACTGCAAAGGCCAGTAGTTTGAGACCATCAGAGACCGAGTTGGGCTCTCAGAGGCTAATGTGGGTCCTTACTCATTACAGGCCAACATGGGGCCCTCAGAGGTCAGCGTGGGGCCCTAAGAGACCGGCATGAGCCGTCTTTGGACCCCAGAGGCCAGCAGAGGGCCCTCAAAGGCCAAGATGGGCCCTCCTCAGAGGCCAATGCAGGCCCTTAGAGGCCGGCATCGGGTTTTCAGCAGCCAGTGCGGGGCCCTCATTGGCACCTAAATGTTCGTCTTGGACCATTAACAACAAGACAAGACCATTAGAGACCGGTGTGAGACCCTCAGACGCCGGTTGGGGCCCCTGAGGCCGGTTAGGGGCCCTCATATGCCAGATGTGGGCCTCAGAGGTCGATGTGGGCTCTTAGCGGTCAACGTGGGCGCTTGATCGCCACTGAAGTTCCATCAGAGGTCAGTGTAGGACGCTCAAAGACTGGTGTAGGAGCTATATTAATAGCTGGGCGTGTTTTTTTTTTAGCCTCGTGACGATCGAATCAGGGCCAGGGCCCCATACACCTATGGGGGCCCATCGGTTGCTTGAGGGGGGGGGGGCAAACGATATGACGGCCCCTTTATGTGCCTTGGGGGGGGAGCATGGCCCTGATGCCCCCCCCCCCTCCGACCGCCACTGTGTACACATTACACAGGCCTCTGAGATTACATACTAGCTCATGCAAACTCTATGCAGCCGCCCCGGAAGTCCCACGCTAATCCTTAAGAAACCAAGCCAGCATACGGCGTCACCACCGGGCTTCTGAGGTGCACAACACCAACCCATGAGGTCTTATGTGTCGTAGAGCCACGCTCATTTGGCAGGGCCCACCCGCCACTGGCGAAGAGGGTCTCATGCAAGCCATTGCTGGGCCTACGAGAGCCTCAAGTAAACCCACGCTGATATTCCATATAAGATCCGGCCATACTCGTGAACCGGTGCCAGCGACGCTGACCGCCAAATTGACAGAATGCGAAACTGAGCCCACTCATGAGTGAAATTTACGTCCTTTGATGGCGCAAGAGAGAAAATGAAACATACAAAAAGCTTTTCTAGGACTTTTGTTCGATCTGAAAGGTGGGGCCAAAAGATAGTATGGCCCCACCTTTCAGCACCAAAGGGGGGGGCCATGGCCCCCGTGAACCCCACCCCCCCTGGGACCGCCTATGATGCTGTAGGACAAACTCTCTGTTACGAAAATTTTCAATGTGTTCGTTCTTTGTGAAAACTGAAAAGGTATCTTTTTTCCTCGTACTGTGCGAATGTATATTGTGTGCATTTGTGGCGAGCTTACAATGTCTCTGTGTTTCGTAAGTTCAAGGTTTGTCTTAACAACGCGATTAGACTTTTTTTGGGTATGATAAGTTTTCCAGTGCATCAGCGATGTACGCCTGCGAAGGCATTGACAATATTGACATCATGTTCAGGAAGTCGGCCTATGGCTTTATTAAACGCATCGAAAAGTCGGAAAACTGTATTATTGCTCAAATTGTCGGTAGTGATTTGTATACATATTCCCCCTACAAAAGGATGTGGGACCGTCAGCTGTCATCTCAGTGACGTGTGATCCTTGCTCATGTACGAGCCAACCATGTTATTGGACTTGGTGATTGATTGGACATTTATGTTAATACAATGATCTCTCTCTCTCTCTCTCTCTCTCTCTCTCTCTCTCTCTCTCTCTCTCTCTCTCTCTCTCTCTCTCTCTCTCTCTCTCTCTCTCTCTCTCTCTCTCTCTCTCTCTCTCTCTCTCTCTCTCTCTCTCTCTCTTTGCATGTTTTGTAAAATTGTTAGGTACACATAGGGTTGAAAGGTAGGCACGCTTCAAGCATAGGCACGAATATGGTACGGGGACCCGCAGTTGCTACTGTACACGAGCCCCAACTCTAGCCGTCTGTCCTGCCCAGTAACAACCGATAACATTGATATCGACTGCCGGTCCCTGTACAAGAATAGCTGAGTTTTTCTGTACTTGCCTTCTGACAGCTTATTGTTGTTCCCTGTGAGGGTGCTGGGACAATTTACTCAGGGTCGCTGTACAGTAGCAACTGCGGGTCCCCGTACCTACCTATGGCACGCATTTTGCTGTGACCTTTTGCGGAACGGTTAGAGCAGCGCAGCAGTGCAAATAGGTGCACAAAACTGGTCGTTTATCGGCAATATTGTCAGTGTCACTAATATCGTGCATCAAGCAGTGCGACAGTCTTACTTCATAACGCATTTTAGGTAAGTATACTTATTCGACAGTACAGTTAAGTACAAAAATATCTTCCCTCGAGCCCCGCATGGATTTGGGCGAAATCTCAGTTTATCGTCCTAGACGCCCTTCATAAGGGCCGCATTCGGACCGTAAAATGGAGGTAATTTACACTCATGGTCGCGTGACTGTCTAAGGACGGATTATTTTAGGCATCGAACGACAAAAGTGAAATATTTGTGACAAAATAGACATCCTTCTTGTAGACATAAAATGCAGAAAACTTTTCTTTGTGAACATTTAGTTTTGCATTTGACATGGGTAACAACAATATAAAGCGATGTGAAACATCTAACCGTTTCCGTCTCGAATACATGCGCAAATAAAACCCACAACAAATATGGTGAAAACAACAGCGATTCCAGCGACCGCCGGCGCGTCGAATCAGAACCTACCAGCCGAGAGGTGTGCCATTTTGACGTCGGAAGAGGCCTACGAACTGGGAGTGAGAGCCTTTCCCGACACGATCGAGTTTCTGGAGACGGAACCCGGCGGTACCTACAGCCGAAAGTTCGGTGTGCAAAACTTACGTGACCACAGCATCACCGTCATAATTCCTAATGTCACACACACGGTAAGAACAAGGAGAGAGAACGAGAGAGAGAGAGAGAGAGAGAGAGAGAGAGAGAGAGAGAGAGAGAGAGAGAGAGAGAGAGACCGTTGATCGCCACAGATTTCATTGTCATGGAAACAATTGATAAGTAGCGGGCACATAACCGCTTATGGGCTGTAATCAAGGCCGTAGAAGATGCAGAGCTTCTAAAATGCCTAACAGAAACTATTGCTCCGAGGCTCCGAGGTAAAAATTTTGGTTACTGTTTAAAAGGCTCACGGCAGCGTGAACGGTGCCCCATTACAGACGAAGGACCACTACCTGTGCTACCCGCACTACCAGCTGACCATCGGGGGTGACGGTAAGACCATCTCTGACCTCGGGCCCGGCCTGGAGCGCACCGCCACACTCGTCTACACGTGCACCGACTCCGAGCAGAAAAATGACGTCGCCAAAATACTCATCGGCGAGGAGTTCAGCATTAACATACCGATTGTGTGGTGAGATATTTATGACAGGTGTTTGCTCATCGCGATGCCTTTAGGTACTTACACACGGAAAGCTTAAGTAGCGCTAACGATTATAAAATGTAAATGGTGCTAAGGTCAGGTAAAACATCAGCGAGAATGTTACCTACCGTAACCGAAATTAATCAGATTATTCTAAAGCCCATTTCTGAAACGTCGAACAAAACAGCGCTATTAGGTCTATGAAACTATTTATCTTTGTTTTAGTTCAATAGTTTTTATTGACAGTTTAATAAAAATTATAATAAGTAATCTACCTATAGCCATCTGAACGTTACGTTTAGGTATAATTCATAAATGTGATTAATTAATGATTTACTTTTGGACAACTTTAAGCCCCAAGTCCCCTGGTAGTTCGAAGCACTCACTTGCGATGACACTGGATGGCTAGTGACCGTCACACTATCACGGGGGCATTCCATGTCAACCGGGACAGCCAAAATCGGTCACCTCTGCGATTTTGTTCAAACTTGGTATACTTATTGCCTATTGGGTGAAACCTCTGAGGGTGAAAGGATTTTGTAATATGCCCTCGGGCTACAGAGATACAAGCCGCTAAACGTCTGCTTTTTTAGCAGAATTGGACGTGTACTGCAATCTTGAAAGATCTATAGCTTCAACATTTTTGAAGCTATTGATTTCAAACAAACTGGAACGTATACATCAGGAGTTATACTAGCAAAATTTGGCAGTTTTAACATATTTTGAAAGTTCTGAATTTATTTTATTTTGAATTAATTTCTTAAAATATAATTTGTGAAAAATGGGTACCCTTCGATTTTGCTTAAATTTAGATATTGTCTTCCACTACACGTAAGGCACACGTGCTGAGAAAATTAGAGTGGGCCATCAATAACTTTGGATGATATAGCAACAAGTAGTGCAACGTAGCACGGGCGGTGGAAGGGGCCGATTTCGCCAACCCCACCTGTTTTTCGCCAATAACTCACGTCATAATTGTTATATTAACGTCAAACTTTCAGTATCTGTCCAGAATTGAATTGCAAATCCGCCCGTGCAAGCAATAGGTAAATCGGCCCGCAACTTTTCTAGTAATAGCAGTGTAAAGTTAAACATCCTGCCGGAGCGGCGCGGCGGCCGGCGCCGGCCGTTGCCGCCTGAATGGTAGACTGTGCCGGCGCGGGACGGTTCCATCTTTGCACCGCGCTTCTTACCGCTGATTATGATCGATTCGTGTCAAATTTTGTGTGAAGGCTTAAAAATGTACAGGCAATCTAATGGTCAAATACATGCGAAAATCTACAGGTAAAAATTGAATTATTAGGGAGCAAACAATCTGTGAATGAAACGTTTCCCGCATCGGCCGATCCCCGCCTCTGCCGGCGACATCTCTTAGCAGGCCAATAACGGCCAAATTTATGGTTAGATTAGCTAGAGACTCTCATAACACTACAAATGTCGTATAAAGGAAGAAATAGGAAAATCGGGCATTAACTCTTAGAGCTATGGGCGTATAAATGCAAAATAGTCACTATAGCAAATTTGATCACGTTTAACCTCATTTGATCCTAAAGATATTGATCTAGGGCCATGAAATTGGCACACGATAAAAGTTCCCCACCGCCCCACCTACAATTCAAATTCCGTTTTTTAATACCCTTTTTTGACTAAACCGGGCCTTTCTCCCCTAGCGCTGGGAGTGAGGCGTATTTCCTTTTTGCAACCAAAGAGAAGCGCTGCCCGGAGAATGCTCAATTGCATCATTAAAAAAACTGGCTTAGGTACAGCTCAGCGATGACCAGCTATCTTCGTGGCTTAGTAGTTAGTGTGCCGAGTGTACCCACCTCGTAATCTATATGTCGCTGGCTCGCGGCCGGTCAGCCTCAAGTGTTTTAACACGCGTTCATTTTTGTTTTATAGTGTTCGTATCTAAGTAGTATTTGGCCAGCCGGCAACTGCCGTGAGGGCTATACATATTAAAGCGTGTTAGATTAGATCAGGTCAGGTCAAGTTAGGCTTGCTTTGGTTTGATTAAGGTAGAAAGAACCATCTCCGCGTAGCGCCTCTCCTTGGTTGCTAAAACGAAACGCGCGAGTGCCAGACATTATTAAGTCCAAAAGACAGTTACGTAGACGTCGGCCCATTCTGAAATTTTCATATGAAGTAGCTAATGTATGGGAGAATAAAATATGTAAAAATCAGCAAAATCGAAGGGTACCCATTTTTCAAAAATTCAAAATTTATTTTTTGAATTTTTATTATGCTCTCAAATTAGTTAATGACGTCCATATTGTGATCCTCAAATTAAAGCCTGATCTATTTCCTCCATTTCAAACTTTGTCACGTGGTGATATGTCTAAAACTTGAAAAGTTATGACGCTTTAAAGATGATGATGTTCCTTGCCGAAGTCAATGTTTGATGACGTGTATCTCGGAAACATGACGTCATATCTTGACAAAAAATGTCTCCTTTCTTTTCACATACAGATGAGTAGGTTCACAAAGTTTCGCAAAAATCGGAGGAGGTGAGGTTCAAAATCGTCATTTTTTGTCCCACTTGACGTGGAATGCCCCCACGGTCATTTTTCGCCAGCTCCCCGGTCCGTCCCGTGCTTTACGCACCGAGCGTTATCAGCTTCGGCGAGCTGCCATCAGATGGCACTCCGATCGCCCGCCGGCTGACGGTCGAGAACCGCGGCCGGCGCGAGGGCCGCTGGGACATCGAGTACTCGGGCACCACGCGGGTGGCGTTCGAGCCAAGTCACGGCGTGATGGGTCCCGGCCAGCGGCAGTCGATCCGCGTGGAGCTGATCCCCGAGACGGAGGGCGACATCAGTGAAACGGCCAGGTCAGTCGGGCCGTCACCGAGCGGTGGCACTCGGCTGGAGAAAGATACGGGGAACGGGACACAGTGGGAGGTGGGGGAAGTGGGGGTGACTGTTATCGCTGAAAATGTTGATTGATGACTGTTGATGACAAAACAGTCAATATCTTTTTATACGATCACTTCAGGTGCCCAACGTCTATCGTCCTTGCACTGTTTGATGGTCAGTGATCTCACACATTGCCTTCCGTTAGCTTCAACTAATAGGGTTCTTGGAGCTCTGACACCTGTCTGCGTATCTCCGCATCTCCGCAGGTTCGTCGGCCAGGAGATGGACCCGCTGGAGGTGCGTATCGTGGGTCACGTGACGCGCAGCGCCCTGCACCTGCTGGAGCCGGCCAGTCGGCAGCCGCTGCGGCTGGTGGACTTTGGCGCCGCCTATTACGGCACGCGTCACCAGCGGAGGGTGGTGCTGCACAACGCCGGTGTGCGGCCCATATGTTACTCGGTCACCTGGTCACAGCACCAGCCCGGCCAGGAGGTGGTGAGTGACGAGACAGCAGTGGTCCGGGGAGGAGGGGTGGGTGGAGGCGGGACGGCGAGGTAGGAGGCGCAGCTTACGCAGAAGACGTGAGAGGAGCAGCTAGCTGAGTGGTAGGTTTCTCACGTTAGGATGACACTTTAAGACAAGTACATGAGAGCTAAGGAGTGCCTAACTTAGGAAAGAAGAAGAAGAAGAAGATACGGATTCCCTTAGTCCGATCCGATGCCGCTACTGCGACAGGCGGTGGACCTGACTCAGTAGGGCTGACCGTCGACCGATCCCCGCTACTCCGGCAGGCAGTGGACCTGACCCAGTGCCACCTGGCGGCGGTGGCCGACAACCGCACAGAGGACGTGCGTGTCACAGGTCGCTGCGACCCGCCCGAGCTCTGCTTTCACGTGGAGCCGGCCTTCGGCAAGATCGCAGCCAAGGGCGAGCAGCTGCTCACCATCGAGTGAGTCGTGGGTCCCCCACTGGTGGGAAAGACGGTGACGGTCTCTGTAGCGGTGATAGGTGTGGATTACGTTGGCATTTAGTTAGTGCTTTGGAGGGTTGAGGACCTATCCACGTGCTTGTTACCTAAATTTAACGTTTTGAACGGTCACCGTTCCGTGCTTCTATCCTCAGGATACTGAAATCCTTCTCCTCCACGCCGCAACCTCCCTCCGGGCTGGACAGGCAACTTTATCTCATGCGGGCTGCTCCCTTGGAGCGGCACCGCTGCTCCCGAGGGAGCGCACCCCGTAGCCGGGTGCAGTGAGTACCTTGGGGCTGGGTGGCCTGTTCTCTGGACGGGCTCAGCCCCGGTGACTCACTAGGGTGTCTGCCCAGACCAATGTCTCCCCCTATCCTATCATCCTCCCGGCTCTGAAATGGTCCCATTGGACCGAAAGGGCCTAACCCAACAAAACAAAAATGAACGGTAATGACACCATCGTGCGGACAGCGGAGCTGATGCAATTACCGCAATCCAGTCTGCATAATTGCGACCCAACTTGCCCAACACTTTATTTGCCGAGAATATGTCACTAATTCGCAAACCTCTCCGTCCACCCAGCTTCACCCCGCGGGCGTACCCACCGGAGAAGGGCTTCACCAGCGTGTACCGTTCTCCGCCGAGACGCGACTACTGTCTCTTCCTCACCATCGAGCCGTCCATCGCCGACCTGCAGCAGAACCTCGGTGAGCGCCGTCTTACGGATCGGTATGAATAACGCTGTATCAGATAAGCGGTGACATTATCTGTGGCTACAGCATGGGCACTTGGCAATGCCGCATTACTTTGTTCGCTAGTCATCCGCTTTATGGTTGGAAGAATGGGTTGCCACAATTACAAAATTCGTTCGCAAATATTAAGTCGTGTAGTGTTGCGGTAAGCTATTGGTCGTTTTAACCCAGTCGCCGGTTCAATATTTGACGGCTGTATTTCTTACCCGTTTCTTTTCCTTAATGCTATCCGCCAGTCACCACTAAGAACTGTTCATTCGTCGACAGAATTTGGCAGAGTCTACCTGGGTGTGCGGGCAATGTCTCTGCCAGTCATGTTCGAGTTCGAGCCAAAACAGGCACACTTCCCCGAGACCCGTCCCGGGAAACGCATCCTCATGCCGTGCAAACTCATCAACCAGTCCAAGGTGCTGCCGCTGCGCTTCACGTGAGTGTCCATTTGTGCCTTTAGGCCTTTTGTCAGCTAGCAAACCTTGGCGTTGGTTGCGACCATGGTTAGATATAAGCCACCAGCCGAATTATTGGTAAAAGTATGATTTAAGTGAATAGCCAAGATGCTGCTATGTGACAAAATTAGGAGACAAATTTTATCGACCTTCTTCCTCGTTGTAGGTTTAGCGACATTGCTCACTTCCGAGCCAGCTGCAACAAAGGAGTTCTGAAGCCGGAGGAGACGAGGACGATGCACATTTTGTGCAAGCCCACTCAGATAGGTGAGGTGCAAAAGTTGCCAAAACACCGATGTGCCGAGTGCCGATGTCGTATGACTTGTCACATAGACTCATCAAAGGCGTTGGCTTGACAGTCTCGCTCTCTAGGCCTTTTCCGGATCTTCGTCCCATAGGTCACGAGAAGATCAGCACTCAAACCATCGTCCACATCCCTGAGCCGTCACCATCCTGTTCTGTTCCTCTGCCAGGTCCGCTGTGGCGGTACATTCAGCTGGAGCTGCTGGGAGTCGACACGGGGGTGAGCGCCAGCGCCGAGACCGAGCCGTCATCAGACACTGAGCCTCGTCTGCTGGTCTCGGCGCGACTGCGCGTCTCCACCTACTGCGCTCCCATCACGCCGCAGAAGAAGCCGCTCTTCGTGCCCGGTGAGACTCGTTGATAACAGAGGCCAGGTGCCGGAAAGTCAGCGGTTATCAGCAGACTAGGAGGTCTGAACTTGAGCCTAATCTATGCTGAGAAATTATGGCGAGATAAAGGGAGAAGACGTCAGTGCTGTGAGCATATATACAGTACTCAGGCAGGCAGAATGTTTTACATGAAGTTAACTTTCTGGAGCGTTCATGACCATCCCTTGCTCGTTTGCCAGGTATCACGCCGCTGTGGGGTCACAACGAGATCGGTCTGAACGCGGAGGCGCTGCAGCGGCCGAGTGCCGCGGCGCCGGTCGGGACTCTGGCCGGAGTGCGCACCACCAAACACCGCTGGGTGCGCTGGGCGTCCGTGAATCAGCAGGAGCGCTGCTTCGTGGCGCTACCCAACGACCGGGCGGGCAGCATCCGGCCGTATCATGGTCCATCGCCAGTCAGGTCAGAGGAGGAAGCATCCGGGCCTTCTTCGATCCTTCTCCCCTTTGGTCAGCAAGGACGATGGCCTTGCTGACCTTTAGCGTCCTGCCACAACATGAGTGGCAGGACGCTAAAAGAGAGAACCACAGATAAGCCAATCGACACATTAACGACGACCGAAACACTCCCGACATTCGATGGCACGGCATGTTAGTACCAACCACAAGTCTTATTTTCATTCCAAACATTCGGAGAGTGACCATTCCTCGATTGTTGTCGCGCTCTTTCAGGTCGATATTCACCGGCCAGCCGCGGTACACGTACCTGGACCCGTCGTACCAGTACACTGCTGACGAGTGGCGGCACATCCTGCTGAACGAGGCCCGCTACCAGGAGTACATTGACCGCTGTCACATGGAGAGGTGGCTGCAGCAGGCCGAGCTGGACCGAGCGCTCTACGACGGGCAGGAGGACGACAAGCTGCTCAACAGGACGGTGAGTATTTGATGTGGTACTGGCCTTACCTCGGACCTTTTAGTTCCAGCTCACGGTGAGCAGAATCGGTAAGTGATTGTATTGTCAAATATGCGAGGATCGGTATGTGATGCACCGTCTAATAAATGAGAATCTGTTGAGTGGTACTGTTGAATATTTTTCGTGCGTCCGTTATTCCCCCAGGCTAGTCAGTTTCTGGGCGCCGAGTTTGCCCGTCTTCTGCGTCAGTGGAGCACCGTCTGTAGCCGGGAGAGACGCCGTCTGCTGCAGCTCCAGGCCAGCGGAGACGGACCGCCAGGTCAGGAGATCCCTGTCTGTAACGTTCTCCCGTCATACTCGAACTCAAGAAATCGCACATCCTAAAGTTTACAAGTTTTTTCACGTGTTGGATCTAATCTATTCGCAACTGTCTGATTAGTGATCTGATCTAAAATAACAAGGATATTTTTTCTTTTCCCTTATTCAGTATTCCGACAAGTCATTCAAACATGATTTGCTTTTGTCAGCATTTCTGGTTAAATAGCGCAATATTTATATACGTACGTCTTCGCTTTATTGTCGCTTGCACGCTTTTGCCTTCAGTTCCAGGGTTGAACGTTGTTGAAGACGACAATCTTTCCAGCGGTCACAGTGGAATGGAAGTTCTCGAGAAATTCGACGATAAGCCCAAAACGATGGAAATCAAGAAAGCATGCGAGCGAGAGCTGACCTGCGTCGAAATCGCCAAAGTGAAAATATCAAACAAGCTGCTAAACTTTGGCGAGGTGCGTACAACGTTAGAGGTCGTTCTGTCCGTTTGTTCGCCTGTCCGTCTATCTGTCTGCCCACTTGCCTGAATGTACAGAATCCCCGACTCCCGAGACCCGACAGCGTGAAGCCTTCCTTAGGGGCTAAGGCTAAGCCGACAGGTCTTATATAACCATATGCTGTGGTGGAACGGTGGTACATCCTTACAAATGAAAACAGGTCACCCGAGAACAACCTAGAGAACAAGGCCAAGCTGAAGCTCAATCAGCTCAGTAGGTAGTCGTTTTCAGAGTCCTTGTCTTCATATTTCCTAGTCCAGGTCCACGACTCACGGCCGATATGCATTGACAGGTGGCGCAGGACGTATGGGCGTGCCGCACCCTGGACGTGTGGAACCCCCTGGATGGCCACGTGCTGTTCCGTCTGCATGTGGACTGTCGGGAGCTGGAGAACACAAGTCCGACGTCGGCCGTGGTGCCACCCCGCTCGGCCGTCCGGCTGCCGGTCATCTTCCAGTGCAGCACCAAACGCGAGTACAGACGGTGAGCCGGCAGGTCGAGATCCGCTGTATGGGATGGCCGTCCGGGATCGCTGGCGGTGGATCGCCACAATACCTCGTCTCTAGCTCTTGAACTCTATATAGCCAGTAACGTATGGTCAGTGGGTGTAGGCATAGGTTTGCGGGATTATAAGCTATGGACTATGGAGACGTTCGGTAGTCATGTCACCTGACGCCTGCGTGCTTTTACCGCAGAGTGATAAAGTACTCGATCAACGGCACGTGTCTGGACAGCGTGCTGGTGGTGGCCACGGTGGTGAGGATGCGGCTCGACATCTCCACCACCAGGCTGCACTTCAAGTGCGCCAACCTCACGTCCATCTGTGAGTGACCGTCAAACCATTAAAAACTCCTCGAGGATGCGGAAGTCACGGAATGCCTTAGCAGATGAGCCTATATATTAATATCGACGCCTCGAGCCTTCGAGACATCTCACATTACAATGCTCCTATCATAGCCAACAGGACACAGGCTTGTTTGCTTCCCGAGTGTCCCAACTCCCACCCATGCCTGATCCCATACAGTCCTTATGATCCCATAGTCCTTCGGTTATTGGCCCCAGTCCTCCAATCCCGGTCACCCGATCCTCTGGCTTTGTCCTCCGCAGCCCCGGGCGTCTACCAAATGGTCGTGGTGCTACGCAACTCTCTGAACGGCGTCGGCGAGTACCGCTGGCGCCAGGAGGGCGGCGACCCGGACGACGTTTTCAGCCTGCGGCCGGCGCACGGCGTCATCGACCCGTACCACAGCCAGCGCTGCGTGGTCACCTTCCGACCGAGCGTGCGCCTGCGGCAGCCGCACACGGCCACCTTCGCCTGTCACGTGACTGGCGGCGACACGCTGACGCTGGCGCTGACCTCCGAGCTCGGCACGCCGCGCCTGCGGCTTACCGACGACCGCCTGCAGCTGGAGAACCTGCCGCTCTACCAGGTGAAGCGTTGCCAGGTGCGGCTCTACAACGCCAGCCTGGTGGACGCGTTCTTCTCGCTGGCTGAGCCGAGGCCAATGCCGGGTATCGTGGTGTTCCCGTCGGAAGGAGTGGTGCCGGCTGGTGGATCGGTGGCGCTGCACGTCACCCTGGTGCCTGTCTCACTAGCGCGCTTCGACTGTCCAGTGCGACTTCACGTGCGCGACGGCCAGGCGGTGACGCTGGGCATCAGCGGACGCACCGAGGCGCCTGATCTCGCAGCCGACTGCGGTGCTCTCTACTTTGGCGGCGTGCACTGCGGGAGTTCCGCCAGCCAGGTGTTCCACCTGGAGAACCGTAGCCGCATCCCGGCCACGCTCTCGGTGGACCTGCGCGATCACGACGAGTTCTCGCTGGCCGGACCGCTGGAGGCCGGTCGTGACCAGGCCGTCCAGCAGGAAGGGGACGGCAGATACCTGGTGCGCTGCGGCGCCGGACAGACAGTGGCCGTCAGCTGCCGGTTTGCGCCGCGCTTCCTGGCCAACCACGGCTTCGTGTTGGCGCCGCTGCTACACGCGCCGCCTGAAGTGAGGGAGCTGGGCATGGCTGGGAGGCCGTCGGTGCTCACTGCGTCCAAGGCGGATCGGCTGGCGCAGCCGCGGCGTGGCGGTCAGGCGGCTAACCGTTCGGAGGCCGTCATCGCACTGCCCTCGCTGAAGGTGATCGCCACTGCGCTTCGCCAGCCGGTGCTGCTCGCACCACAAACGGTCCGCTTTTCCATCGGCGCCGACCTGTTGGAGCGCTGCTTCAAGGTCACCAAACGCGTTCGCATCACCAACAACCTGAATCGCACCGTGCGTGTGGTGATCAACGCCAAGTCGAGCGCCTGCTTCCGCGTGGGCAGCGCGGAAGCCCCACCTCCGCGCGGCCTCATCGAACGTGACCTGGAGGTAGGCGCTGAGCTGAAGGTGCCGATAGTCTTCACGACGTCTTACTTGTACCCGACGCACCCTACCACGGTGCGCGCCCACCTGCCCGTTTACGTGGACACTCTCGACCAGCCGGCCGTCACGGTCGACATTGAGGCCGAGTGTCGGCCCACGTACTTGACGGCGTCGCCGCGCTCCATCTACCTGGGGGCCGTGCCGCTGGGCATGACCGTCAACTCGGAGCTGACCATCGTAGGACACGACTACCAGCAGCCGGACGAGCTCAGCGTATCAATTAGGTGGGTGGAAGACGTGTGCAGTTTGCGCGAGAGATGATCGGTCAGTATATCGTAGTTCATTCCTTAGGACTATCGCCGGGTTTAAGTGATCGATAAACCTAAAACCAGCAACGTTACTGGTAATGGGATGCCGTGTTTGTCATAAACTTGAAGCACACCAGTTTTAATTAGTCCAACCAGGAACTTCACCGTTGACCTAGCTACAAGAAAGAATGGTGTTTTGTGGTCGTAACTTAAATCTGGTTGTGTTCCAGTTACGTGGAGCTGCAGCCATCGGGCACGCAGGACCTGCCGAGCATCACGTGGCGTTTCCCCCAGAGCGGCCGTCTGGCGGGCGGCCGGGCTCAGCAGCAGGTACCGCTGATGGTGCAGTTCAGCGCCGTGCGACCCGTCTCCGTGTCGGCACGTCTGCTGTTGACGGACCGCGCCGGCCGCTCCGTCAGCGTGCTGCTGCTGGGCGCCGCCGACAACTGCCTGCTCACCACCTACTCGTTCCTCAGCCTGCACCCGGAGGGCTACCAGGAGTGGCTGGCGCTGCAGGGCACTCCGCTGGAGGTGGCCGACGAGGCCGACTCTGGTCGCCAGACGGGCGGGCCGCCGGCGCTGTCGGCCGCCTCGCTGGAGCATGCCGCGGCGGCGGCGGTCCGCTCCGGCTCGTCCGTCTCGTCTGACCAGCTGGAGATGGACCAGCTGCCGATGGACGTGCAGCTGCCGAGCGGCTCCACCACTGAGTTCCCCAGGTTCCCGGCGGCAGGACCCGTGCAGACCTTCTTCCAGGCCACATATGATGCCATTGAAGCGTGGTTCATCAACTTCGGATTCCCAAGTGGACCGTTCCCATACAACCTGTTCCTTCACTTGCCCGAGTGCATGGGTCACGAAGAGAACTCGAGTCGCTTTTCTAAGGAGGAGAAAGCTCAGGCTCAAATGTGGCAGACTTTCGGCGAGTCCGTCGCATATCTCAGCAATAAGAAGATCCCGAACTACAACATTGAGGACAACGCTGATTCGGCTGACGGAGCTAGCACGATCTTATTTTACATCAAAAGGAACAGAGCGGTCTTGGACTTCCTGAAAAAGGAGGGCGCCTTGCTGGCACACGTGCGACCCGAATTCATGCTGCGATACGAGGATTTCCTAATCCTTCTCCAAGTGGTGGAGGAAATCCAAGAAAGCGTGGGATCCAAGCTCGACATGGCCTTCAACGGGTCTTCGATCGAGGCGGGGATATCTGCGGGGAACCTCCCATCCAAGCAATCGTCATTAGAGGACACGTCGACCGCGGCGTCCCTGCAGGACGTGGCTCGCCACCTCCTCGACCCAAACATCGTGCCGATCTACGGCGCCTTCCGTGACGAGGGCCAGTTCCGCGACATGGCCAAGGCCGCCTGGCTGGACATCCTGCTGCAGACTTTCCGTCGCTTCATCCTGCAGACGGTGGTGAAGCTGTCTTCTGTCGGCTTCTGGCCGGAGATGGCCGACAGCGATGCCCGCTACATGCCCCGCGCCATCGACCCGTTGGAGAGCAACATCTACAGCGTGCCGGAGCGGCTGCTGCTCGCCTGGATGACGTGGTCGTACAACAGCCAGCTGCGCCGCCTCTGGGACGCTGACGGTACCGAGGACCGCTGCATCACCAACTTTGACACCGATCTGGAGGACGGCGTGGTGCTGTGCTCGCTGTTCGCCTCGCACTGTCCTTTCTTGCGCGATCACCTGCGCCAGGAGGTGTACGCACATCCGAGCACGCCCGAGCAGGCCTTCCACAACTGCGTGATCGTGGCGGAGAGCTGCGCGCTGCTGAACCTGGACACCCGGCTCGACCCGACTTCCATCATGGACGCTAACCCTGTGGCACTGCTGATTCTGGTCACGGTGCTGTACGAGAAGCTGCCGCTGTACTGGCCTCGCGAGGCGATCCAGTTCCGACCCGAGCTGGGCTCCAGCCAGACGCGGCAACTTACCATGCGCAACACGAGCAGCCGACCGGTGACGTACGAGGTAAAGCTGCTCGGCGCCGAGAAGGGCGTGTTTCAGGTGCAGGGCGGCGGCACAGAGATCGTCATCGGCCCGCGACGGACGCTGGACGTCACCGTCCAGTGCAGCGTCCACCGCATCAAACAGTACGCAGGTAAGAACTTGCATCGCTTTTTTATTTCCACTGCACGTTATGCATTCACAGCCCTTTCAATTGGGATGCTTAAAAGCCGAAGGGCAAAGAGAAATGACAATATTGGAACTCACTATGCTGTTTATGATATCTGTGTAGCATCTTAGCATGTCCATTGGTGCCCCCAGCCACGCTGCTGCTGTGCCCGAAGTCGTGCCAGACCCCGCGGCCCCGTCCGCTGGTGTACCCGCTGGCCGGTGGCCCGCTGGGCGCCGCCGCTCCGGCCATCGTCGAGGTCGTCTCGCCGCTGTACAGCTGCCGCAACGTGCGTGTCGAGATGCCCAACCCTCTGCGCGAATCCGGTGACTTCGAGGTACGGCTCACGGACAAGCCGCAAGGCGAGCGCGACCTAGACACCTGGCTGCGCAGCGGCGTCGACCCCTTCCCGGCCATGGTGCTGCCGCAGACGGTGTCGCTGCGCGCGCGAGGCAAGTCCCGCGTCGACGTTGAGCACATGCCGTGGGTGGCGCGCGCACGTGACTACTACGCGCTCTTCTCGAACGCGAAGCTGGGCGACTTCACGGTGTGTTTTCGCTCGGCGCCGGCCGACCCGGAGCCGTTCGCGACTGTGAAGCCGGCTCACGGCTGGCTGACGAGCCTGAAGCAGACGCGATGGGGCGGAGTGTGCGCTGAGCCGTCAGCGGGAGCCACGCCGCTGGTCCGGCGGCAGGTCAACCTCTCCGGAGCACTGATACAGGCGAGTGTGGCGGTCATGTTGCTGACAATGCGGGCCTAGGCTTCGATATCTCTGCTGTTTTTAAATGATCGTGAAGCAAGCAGGCCTGTTCTTCTGGCATCGCCCTTGGCCTGTTCTTTGGAACGACTGAAGTCCTTTCGCCGGCAGGTGGGCTGCCGCGACGGGCCCCAGTCGGACCTGGACGAGGCGCTGCAGACGGCCGGTCCGCCGCCGGACGGTATCTCTGCAGCCTGGGTGATGGCTGCCGATGAAGTGCTCTGCGTACACTGCCACCTGCTGGTCGACCTGAGCACTAAACTGCGAGATTTTCTCGAGCAGTGCGCGCCCGCCTGGGAGAGCGAGATTGAGCGGGAGAGGAGACAGCTGAACGGTAAGACTACGGACCGAACGACGAGCAGAGATGCGTTAAGGCTGTACATCCCTCATAATATATGTCCGGAATGAGAGCTATCCCCAGTAAACATGCCGACGTCGGCCCGACGTCGGCCGACGTCGGGGTGACGTCGGCAACTCGGCATCGGCATGCCGACGTCGGCCCGACGTCGGTCCAACCTCGGCACGACGTCGGCTGGATGTCGGATATGCCCGCATGTACCGACGTCCAGCCGAGGTCCAGCCGACGTCGGGCCGACGTCGGACCGAGATCAATTGCTGAGGTCCAGCCGACGTCGGGCCGACGTCGGGGCGACGTCGGACCGACATCGGCCGCTGTTTTGACCGTTAAAATAATATAAAATACATGTTTCATGTTTCATAAAGAGCTTCTATATTCAAAATATCCTCCGGAAACTCCAATCTTCCTCCACGCCGCAACCCCCTGATCCGGACTGGACGGGAAACTTTATCCCATTTGGGATTGCCCGTAAGCCGAGCTCGCCCGTAGCCGGGTGCGGTGAGTGCTTGGGGGCTGCTCGGCCTATCCTTTGGTCAGGCTCAGCCCCGGCAACTCACCAGGGCCGGGCCCAGTTCATATAGAAAGGCCAGTCGGCAAGTGTCACTTTGCCAAAGTGCCACTTATCAAAGGGACACTTTGGGAAACGTTGGTGCAGGTGTGTAAGAGTGGCTATATGAATCCATTGTGGGGTCGCCCTTTCCAATAAGTGTCACGTAACAGCAATGGGACCAGGGACTCTATGTGAACTGGATCCAGGGTGCTCGCCAAGAAGACCAATGTCTCCATCCTATCATCCTTCCGAGTCTGAAATGGTCTTGTCAGACAGAAAGGGCATAACCCAACAAAACAAACTTTATTCGCTAATTGGCTGTGTGGTGTAGTGGTTAGCGCACTAGCCTCGCGTCCAAATGACCCGGGTTCGAATCCCATCGCCGACTGATGCTTTTGGCGTGTTGTCCCAGTAAACATGCCGACGTCGGCGACTGGGGGGCTCGAATCCCGCCGCCGGTTGACATTTTTGGCGCGTTGTCCCAATAAACATGCCGACGTCGGCCCCGTCGGTCCAACGACAAACGATCTCGTCAACCTCGGCAAACGACCTCGGCCCGACGTCGGCTCGACGTCGGCTGGACTTCGGCTGGACGTCGGAACATGCGGGCATATCCGACGTCCAGCCGATGTCGGGCCGAGGTTGAACCGACGTTGGGCCGACGTCGGGCCGAGCCTCGGCCCGACGTCGGGCCGACGTCGTCATGTTTACTGGGTCACTTACTGAAGCATCATTTTACTTTATTTCAGGCACGCAAGTGTCTACCGAAATGATGCAACAATTCCAGACTGCGAAATACTCGGCAGCCGTCAAGACCGTCACCATATCTTCCAACAAGAGAGTGCCGACACCGGACCTTCCCGAACCTCCTCCCGGCTATGTCGCTTATCAAGTCCTATCACGAAAGAAGGAGCTACTCATTTCGCCAAAGTCCATTCAAATGGAAGGTAATCTTTAGGAGAAGTGATGCTATTTTACTTCGTATCGCAATAGGCTGTCTACTCGTTTAGTACTAATTGTTTTCATAGGACATTGGTTCCTTGGTGAATAAACACCTCGTTATTGTGTTATTAGACGACGTTTTGCAGAGTAACGCGAACAAACAGGCTCACCGTTTGTCCAGCGTTCAGAGGCGCCCTTTACTGCATCTAACAGTCACTCGTGGTCCTCCAGGTACCGCCGGTACCAAGTCAGTGCCGCTGTGTCTCAGCACCTCGGCACTGGAGGTCGGCTGGCACGGGGCCGACATTGTGCTGCGCAGTCCAAAGTACGGGGACGTGGTGACGGCGCGGGTGGCGGTACTGGTGACCCGACCCGACCCCGCCGCGGACCGCCGCCAGTGACTGCAGACGCTGACACAACCTGGCTACCTGTCGTCCCACAGAGGTGCTATCCGGCATTACAATTGGGGTAATGGTTGGCGCTGTGGCTGATGGAAGAAATGTCAAAGCGCACACATGTGCGAATTACGTTATCAATAGAGATAACGCTACAATCTGCAGTGTAATAAAATCGTCTCCTATTTTTACAACCAAGTTTTTCAAGTCCCGTCAATCAGGTTTGTTCGTTTTTTTTCTGTCGAATCGTTAATGTGTTATAATTAGCGGTAACTGGCAGATATCCAAGATAAATAAAAGGATATTGAAATTTTTTTTACCAAAGTGCGGACTTTTGTTGTCCAGTTCTGTTACATGAACGATCTGAAGCTAAAAATTTAGAAAGCACAAAACGTAAACATTTGTATGGGCACTTCACATGATTCAACAGCTAACCCGTTTAAATCATAAATGAAGAAGGTGCTTGCCAGTAGCGGCGGAACACCTTTAGTTAAGGTGGGGCACTGCCGACTTTTGGTCCCATTTTTTCCATGCAACGCCCATAGGGCTAATGTTAAAATGTCAAAATCAAAGGGGGCACGGTGCCCCGGTGCCCTCCCCGTTCCGCCGCCTATGGTGCTTGCGTTGATGTTAGAAGTGGACGCATACACGTAGCTGTTTACAATTACCAGACACATACCAACGCATCCAGAACTGCATATGCTCCTAACGATCGTCGATCAGGGAGGGTCGATGCTGGAACCATGCCACCGCCTGGCACGCCTGGGCACTACACATGGCCAGCTGCAGCAATGATTAATGGGCCCCCATTGTGGCACTGTCCGCCGGGCAGCGTCGTCTGCCTGCCTGCCGCCGGTCGGCAGGACAGGCTGGACACTGGACAGCGTCGGTCCAGTCCCCCGTCCTGACAAGGCAATCTAAACTTGCGAGATGGGATCTTCCATCAGACAATAAGTCCAAGTTTTAATGAAGCGATTCACGGTAGAGTCATCAGCTTGGTTAGAAAAAAAAGAACGATTCCCCTTTTTTCTGTTGGCAGTTATATGTTGCAAAGGTGATCATTATCACGTTGTTATGACCTCATGACTATTTATATATATATATATATATTGGCATAGCCCAATTTCTCCCTCGCTTCCTCTCATCTCATTGCCCTGAAATGGTTTCAGGTGCAACGACCGGCCTAATTCAACAAAGAAAATTAGGTAAACAAATAGCATTACTGCCACTGACCCATAAATTTCGAAGTGCTGTTTGGGACAATCAGAATACTTAGGCATTCTATAGAATGCCTGCGAGCTTAAGCCAGGCATTCTATAGAATGCCTAAGCAGTCAGGGATTCTATAGAATGCCTAGGGATTCTATAGAATGCCTGGTCGGTAAGGTATTCTATAGAATGCCTAGGCATTCTATAATTGCCTGTAACATATATATAGTCATGAGGTCATTTCGCTACGACGAAAGGAATTTGACAATCATAATGCCTGCATCAGACTATAAATGTCAAACATTTGTTTGCAATTTAATTACTTCTAAACATTAATTGAAATTAGCCGTTTTCACGACGGACTATCCGGCGAATGCACCTGATTTGACCAAATCTGCACCTAATTTGTTATACAGCAAATATCTTCATTTTATGAATTTATTTCAGTGTTTTAATCGATGATGCTCTCTGATAATATGACAAAGCAGGCATATCAGCAATTAGTGCAACCCGAGCTGATAGCTGCTAAGAGACACACTGAACCTGATTTGACCAAATCTGCACCTGATCTGTACCAGATGTGCACCAAATGTGTACCAGATGGCCGTCGTGAAAATGGCTATTATATTGACAATACCTATAGCTACACTGTAAAAAATATTGACGAGCTATGTGTCAAAACAAGGGTCTCGAAACAGTCACCAGGTTGTCAATGCTTCCGGTACCTACCACTTGACTAGTTACCGCTTAGTTAGCTTACAGGCTGAGAACTATCCAGATCGTTATGATCCGGTATTGTAATGATACCCTAGGTGTACCTTTGTTTTTAAGTGCTGAATTAACTATCAAGGTTGTTTGACGTTTGTTTTCGCCTCAATCCGAAACGAAGAAGACCCTCATCAAATTATTAGGTGAAAGCCAGCCTCAGGATGATCAAAATACTAGGGGTAGTTTTGTAATAGTAATCTGTGAAGGGTGAGGAACAAGCCGTAGCAATGCACTCGTCACTAAACCAGCCTTAGATTATTCGCCTGGTAGCTGCTGCGTTTCCCTACTTGCTGAATCATGTTTGCAACTTTCCATTTCCAGACACTTTTTACGGCAAATAAATTGTTGGGTTATTTGGAAGGTGAATGACAATTTTATTTCTATAAGTAAATACCTACATTTGTATTTCCGATTGCCCTAAAACTTTTTTTTTAATCGTTTGCGGTAGGTTTTTATTGTTCGCAATAAAGTTGCGCACCTGTGAATCCTTCACTTAATGCGTTCCCGGCTTCCCGGCGCCAGTTGCGCTGTGCCATGCCGCGTTCGGTCGGGGGTGCGCGAGTCTGTGCAGTGCGAGTGTTTATCACTGGGCAAACCTGTATCGTTTCCATTTGTGCAGTGTCTAGTTATGAAGAATTGCTTGCCGATATATGACCTGCAGTGATCGACGTTCTGATTCAATAACTTGCCATAAGCCATTATTCTCAACAAAATCGCGCAGAGACGTTTGCAAAGTTGTCGAGGGGGGGGGGGGGGAACAAGAGCGATTTTAAATGAATTGCTCTCCATGCAGTGCAATAGGACTTAGGTTTAATTTTTCGAAAGTTGTGGAGCCGCCCCCGGTGTCCGGCCTGGCCAACTCTCTCAAGAACCGACAGCTAACGGAACACTGAAGTTTCACTACGACGATTTCCGCCAAAGTTATGAAGAAAAGGCAAGTGCAAGAAGTACAAAACTTCTCTTGGTAATCAAAACTTAGGTTTGGCAAATTCCAAACCCTAAGTCACTACAACTGTGGATATAAATAAGCTGGTTATTGACGGCCAAGCTCTGGCCAATCTGAGGTTCAGACCTATCATCAAGTTCATGAGGCAGCTGCGGTTGGGCGGCTCACGGGCTCCACTGCATAGGCTCAGACAGGTACTCTACAAAATGTCTTTTGTGTTCTTAGGTTCAGATCTATCGATAGGTACGAGTATGTGCATGCTTCTGATTCGATTGATAACTGTAAACGGGCGCTGGAAGTGAAAGGTTCGCTTGATATACGAAAGGTGCATTGCAAGAAAGCACATTATTTCAGAAATACACTTTCATTTTATCTTGAGCGTTTTTGGAATGGGCCGGATGAATTCGTCATCAAACTGGTAAGGGATTTCGTTTGAAGACCACCGATATTTAATAATATGATGGTCTTCAAACGAATTCGCTGGCAAATTCGATGACTGGATTGGGCGGCGTAGGATCTGCTGGTCATCTGACTATGGGTTGAGCAATACGTTAGTTTTGACCTAGTTTGAGCTTCATTCGTTAAGTAGGAACAAGACGATGCTTCTTTTGAGCATCGTCACTAAACAAGCCGCCCTCGTTTTGACATTGTTTTTCGTTATTATTGTTACTAGGTACTTTGTTATCATACACAGCATTAACGAGGACCTGCTTCCAAAACAAGGCAGAAACGCTCCAGCTATTTTTGGGACGTGGTAAAAACTAACCGACACCTGGTAACTGTCATCTGACGAACACAAAACAAGCCAGGGGCTCGCAGCGTGTGTCAAAAGTAGGATGCAAAACTAGTCTGTACCCCCGACATTTAGCGTTGAGAATCATTTGACGAGGGGCTAGTCAATATTTTTTACAGTGTAGTGACGCTGCTTAGTTAGATTTAGAGAGAAAAAAAAACGCATAATTTCTATTATTAATTATTCTGCATAATTACGTATGTACACCGTACAAATTATTTGTCCTACGTAAAAACTTATAGTACTTTATCCTGTAGGTGCTTAAAATCGGGTTTAGGTCGTTAAAATGTCACCTTGTTTTTAGGCGTGACCTGTTCCACCATGATATCGATCACATCTTTTTCGTAATAATTTGTCTTCCATTTTTTCTATTTAATACGTTTGGGCGAAGGGGCGACACTGCACAGGACCACAGGTCAAATCACGCAATGATCGGCTCTATGCTTGATATCAGCCACCGTCCTTCTTCGACACCCTATCGATCCCTAACAAACTCATCGAGCTATTACGCCCGTTCTCGATCTAAGTATGTATATTGTCCTTGTTTTCTTACACTTGTCTCGAGTTAGTATATTCGTCATCGAGCAGTACACCTGACCTCAAGCCAGTACACCTGGCCTGAAGCTATGGTCCTCGATCTATAAGGTAGTTATATCTGTCCAGTCGTTCTCTTACAACTATCACCGATCTTTCCATACCTGTCCTCAATTTCTAAACCCTTTCCTCGCTCTAAACATTTGTACTCGACTCGTGTTCTCCGACACCTCGAGCCTGGAACACCTGCTCTTTGGCACCTGCCGTTGGCTTTTTGTGCACGGCGTGCTGTCAGTTGTGCGCCGACGGAGAGGGACGTTATCTAAGCCAGCCGACAGACTCGGAAACCAAATACTGGCCGGGAAATGAACCACATATAGTGCTGCGGAGATCGACAGATAGTTGTGACAGACAGACAGAAGGCAGGAGGCAGACGGGAGGGAGAGAGAGAGAGAGAGAGAGAGAGAGAGAGAGAGAGAGAGAGAGAGAGAGAGAGAGAGAAAGAGAGAGAGAGAGAGAGAGAGAGAGAGAGAGAGAGAGAGAGAGAGAGAGAGAGAGAGAGAGAGAGAGAGAGAGAGAGAGAGAGAGAGAGAGAGAGAGAGAGAGAGAAAGGTCAGAGAGCGTGCGTCATTATGTGCGTCATTCGTGTGAATGAGATGTTCACTGCATGCTTTCAACGCCAGAGAAAAGTTGCCGTCTGTCACGAGTCGTCGTATCATTAGTCTTATCAATAGTCGTCCATCCCTTTCTGTATGTACCAGTATCCCGTCATCGTCAATGCGCTAATCGCCGGGCTTCCCCTCAGTCGGTAGCTGATTCCAGTCGATCCGGGACTCTCCCGCTGAGACAGTCCTGAGCTCGTGACGCCTCCTTCCCACGCTCCGTCCGCTCGGGTGGCCGTGAAACCAATGAGGGCGGCTCGAACGGGGCGTGCCGGCGACGGCCACTTATCCGCCGGACAGCGGGCGACGGCCGTGAGACGTCAATATCGGCGCACGGCGGGACGCGCCGCCGCCGCCGCCGCCGCCGCCGCCGCCCGCCGGCCGCCTACCCGTCATGTCGCCGGCACTGCGCCGGTCGCCGACAGCCGCTCGATCGTTACCATGGAGACCGGTGCGCGGAAGACGGCCGGCTCCGGCGCGACGACGCATTGCTCGGTGGCGGGTCGGCGGTGGCGAACCGCTCATAGTAGTTTGTAGCCAGGTCAGGACGTCCGCGGCGTGCGCTCATGGGGGACCGCGACGAGGAAGGTAGGTGCTGGCGCCGCCGGCTGTCTGTGTCTCTATGTGTTTCTGTGTGTCATGTGACTCGTCAGCGGCGTGTCTGTGACAGCGACTGTCACCCCGGACGCTGACGAGCTGCGAACGAGTCTGGCCGGCGGCCGCGCGCCGCCAGGGCGGCAGACATGCCTGAGTGACAGCGGCATCCGCACGGCGGGCCTGATTACAGGATCATCAGCTCGCCGGGCGCAGCCCCTAATAACATCCGCGCGTGCGGTGCCAGCGTCCAGGATGTATCATCTTCTCTCATCGCTTACCATCTGTCAGTCGGGTGTAAACATCTCCGACATAATGGTCCGGGAATCCGGCGGCACTGTTTAGCTGTTAGCGGAGCCGATTTTACCGAAATATTTCCGAAACGTGGGTTGGTTTTGTCGTAAAACTTTCGTCGCTGCTCCGACAAACGTCTGTCAGATTTATAAGCCATATCGTTTGTTATAACAAGAAATAAAGTACAAAATTATTTCAAATCAAACAAGCTGAAAATGCTAGAAGTTGCAGATTGACGAAGCAAGGGCGGTCTGCCTGCATGCGTAAATGGGTTTTGAAATGTGTAATTTTTGTTAACCCTCACCCGCACATGCCATTTTCCCATCCTAGAACGCACATGGGGGGGGGGGGGTGGTTGCCACCTCCCCTCGCGCCATTGCGTTCCTGTTGGAGATAGAACTTCGCGGTAAGGACCAAAAAGATTCTTTGGGAAGAGACGAATCCAATGATACCCAGTTTTACCTTCTCAGGTCTGTCATTGACCTTCCAGGTCAGGTCAAACTAAAAAATGTTGCTGTTTTGGGTCACCGTTGGATATCAAGTGCGCTGCTTAGCATATACCGATGACGATGCCGTTTTCTGGTGCCAAGCCAGCTAGAACCTCTTTGTCACACTACCCGACCAGGTTTTTGCTGCTGAGGTCATTTCAGGTCAAGTTAGGTCAAGGTCAATGATATGTGTTTGTATGTCTGTGTGTGTCTGTGTGTATACTGATGTGTGCACCGATTGTTTATGTGTCCATATTACATGAAATCATGATCTGAGAAGCTTTCACCAAAAATGCAGTCAAAAAACTTCACGAAAAGTAAATTCAGCTTGCCTAAAACGCAATCATTTTAGATGACCTAGGTTGACCTTGACCCTGACCTTGACATCTGTACATCGTCGAACAACATGTTCCATGATAGGTGGGAGGTAAGACTGGCAAAAAAGGCCGAAAGCAAGGTGTCAAAAGCTCACAAGGCTCATAGCCAACGCAAGATGTTAAGAATTGGTCATTTGGGTCATGGCATGACCTGAAAACAAGGTCATATCTCCGAAACCAAAAACCACAGAAACTTGAAATTTTCAGTGGACATCAAGAAAGGATAGAGGAGCAGCTATACGAAAAATCAGGCTTCTATATATAGCTCCAAAAATGTTGAGTACAGAGCAGAATGACTGCCTGGGGGGGGGGGGGTGGCAACTGGCAACCCCCACCCCCTATGTGCGGGCGAGGGTTAATTAACTAGCAATATTCATTGCGTATCATTTAGTCAGGTACTCATTAAATTGCATGCCAACATGCCACGCATATTCGTCTTCGTTGGCGATGAATTTGAGTGAAATAGAACGTTTTCCGTGTTTAAACGTTCAAATAGAATTACTTCGCTGAAACTTTAAACGTTTAAATATAAAACGTTAAGATATAAAAATAGGTATAGGAAACAAATTCATCTACATTTGAAAACTTGTTTTAGCGCTGGCTGTATGTAAGGTAATAAGTTGTATGAGAAAAAAACGTTTTTAAATGGCCTCCTTACCTACAATGAAATACCAATTGATAACATATTGAAATAATTATTCTTAATGATATTAAGAATTATAAGAACTACGAAACAATAATTCTTAAATAATTAATAATTATTTCATTATGTCATCATTTTGCATTTCATTGTAAGGAGCATAGGCGGCGGAACGGGGAGGGCACCGGGGCACCGTGCCCCCCTTTGATTTTGGCATTTTAACATTAGCCCTATTGGCGTTGCATGGAAAGAATGGGACCAATAGTCGGCACTCGGCAGTGCCCCCCCCCCCCTTAATTGAAAGTGTTCCGCCGCTACTGGTAAGGAGGGCATTTAAAAGCGTTTTTCTCATACAACTAACAGTTGAAAACCGTGAGGTGATTGTGATTACGAGCGAGCGAGCGCAGCGAGCGAAGCGAAGTCTTTTCAATATAACGGAAAAATCTCAGTATGAGCGGCCCGGCCCGGCCCGGCCCAAGTAGTGATAAGTAGTGATTTTGAGAGGCTCATATCTCGGCAGCGGCTAGAGCGATTGTCTTGCGGTAATTTTTATAGTGTAGCTGCATCCCTTCTACCAAAGGTCGGATACTCTTGATCAGTGGCGTAGCCAGAGATCAGCGAAAGGGGGGGCCATGGTGCTCGAGGGGGCGACTTTTTCCCTTGAGAGGGGCGCCATTGTCAGCTAGTGACAGGGGTGTCAGTCTAAAATGTAACGTCATGTTCATGCATGATTTACTAGGTGTTGCAAAATACATAAGAACCAGCTTTCGCTGATTTTCATAAAATCCAATTAATGCAATTTGCAGCCTGGTGTTTTTTTTATCAAAAAACCTTGATCTAGATGAATTTTTAGCATGATATAGAGATGAATTTTTAGCATGATATAGGAAACGAGCTCAGGCTATGGACTAGTGATGTCAATCACGGAAAATCGGAATACCGATACCAAACCAAATACCAACTAAAACCACGGGAGAATACCGAAACCAAACCAACTTGGGAAACTGAGGGAAATACCAACTTTTTACCGATTTCTTAGCCTCTAATACATTAGTGAGGGCTTATGATACCAACAAAATACCAAACACATTACGATTGAAATACCAAATACCAAGTTGGTATCGGTTTGGTATCGGTATACCAAAAAGTTGGTATCCGATTGACATCTCTACTATGGACATTTTATTCTCCAAATACGCATCCATGCGAATTCGAAACGGTAAAATAACTATACGTTGATCGGTAGGCAGAATCTTTATTCTTTGCAAGAAAGAAAAATATACGGGCTCACTCACTGATCCGAAGTGACATGTGGGCTGCAGCCTGTGGTCGACCGGGGTTGCCGTGTTTAGAATCTCAGAGCGCACGTATGTAGGATACACGCTGCGACTTATTGCCTAAATTGGAATAAAGGAAAGACTTGAACATTTAAGACCATGAGATCCACCATGAGATCCCAACTCATTGTCATACCAGCAGCGACTGCAGTCAGAGGCGACCGAACGCTGACATACGTTCTGGATTTTTTCTCCACACATCACCTTTACACTTCGATGTCTAGTGCGTGCAGCCCCTACTTGTGGACATGCATGACTGCCTCCAGTGACTGACTGCCACTAGCCTCCAGAGGGAAACAACTCCAAAAATAACAGTTTTTATTAAAATCGTTTTCTGCAATAACTCTTGACTCAAGACAGTGAAGACATTTATTTTGCCAGCATCGTATTCCTCTCGTCGAAACGCATCGAATGAACTATACGTTGACATTGAAAGGTCATTTTGAAAATTTGACCTCAGGTCAAGGTCATGACCTTGACGGACAGGGTCATGCTGCATATCACCCGATCCGTATCGTCGAGCTGAACACATCTGACGTGTTTTCACCGCTTTAGCACGTCTCTCAAAAGGTATAGCCAAAGAAATGCTGGTGACCGTTCATGACCTGAGATGACCTCAGGGGCACACAGAAGGGTCACAGGTGCATTTTGTCGATTCAGTGTGTTATGTTTACCTATGAACCGATGTTTGAGAGGGTTTTGAACCACATTCGTCCAAAAGAGGCGCATTTCAATTTTCTCCAATTGACTTATGCCTAATGGAGAAGTCGCAAAATTGACCTGACCTTAGGTCATGGATATCAAAAGTCCGAGATAAACATTTAATACATATTGTTAGTCTTATCAATCTCTGAAAGTTTCAAAAGTGATCGTTCCGTCGGTGTGGCGTACGCTGGGGCGGTACCGCACTGCTAGGCGGGGGCGGCATCACAATAATGGGCGGCAATGCGCTGGGGGGCAGCACTTGCCTTGAGGGGTGGCATTGTACGGTGAATGGGCGGCGTCGCATTGAGGGGCGGTATCGCAACGAGGGGTGGCACTAACGAGGCTGCCTTATAAGAAACGCTTGGCACATCCTAGCCCAGCTCGGCGCCGCCTGGCTGCTGCATCTTGAAAAGGGTCCTTGGTGTCGATGAGGCAGCCCCATTGTCAAATAATTACCTACCTAACGTCAGTGGTCTCGGGGAAGGGGGGGCGCTATCGATCTTGAATGGGGCGGGGCGACTGAAGTCTCCATTCAGATGGGCGTCAGTGGACGGGGGGGGGGGAGGGCGCCAACGAACTCGGATAGGGCGAATGTGATCTTCAGAAGGGCACCGGGTGATCTAGAGGGGTGTAATGCTTAGATGGCGTCACTGCTGCCTTCAGTAGGGCGTCGGACGCTCTGAAGGGGCGCCATTGATCTCGGATGATTCGACTGTTATTTTCAGAGGGGCACCAGTGGTTTCAAAGGGGCGCCATTGATTTAGGATGGGGCGACTGAAGTCCCGGTTTAGGTGGGCGCCAGTGGCTCCGGAGTCTGGAGGGGCGCCAGCGACCTTGAATTGATGGGGCGACTGTGATCTTTAGAAGGGCGTTGAGGGGCGCCATTGGGCATGGATGGGGCCGCTGTTGCCTTCAGCAGGACGCCGGACGCTCTAGAGGGGCGCCTTGAACTTGAGTGGGGGGACTGTAGTCTCAAGGGGCGTTGTCTCGGATGGGGCGAATATGATTTTCAGAGGGGCGCCGGGTACTCTAGAAGAGCGCTATTGGTTTCAGAGGGTTGCCATCGATCTTAAGATGAGGCAGCTGTGATCTCCGTTTAGATGGGCGCCAGTGACTTTTGAGGGGCGCCAGCGACCTCGGATGAGGACGACTG